CCATCAGTGCACAGAACAAGGCAATTGTGACTAAATGTTCCAATTTCAAGTGGCAATATAGCACCAACCTTCTTCGAATAAAATTGGAGAATAAAGCAGAGAACTTGTAGACTTTCGAGAGGGAATTTTGTAAAAGAAAGTATCACCTGTAAGCTCTCTCTCCATCAGTGCACAGAACAAGGCAATTGTGACTAAATGTTCCAATTTCAAGTGGCAATATAGCACCAACCTTCTTCGAATAAAATTGGAGAATAAAGCAGAGAACTTGTAGACTTTCGAGAGGGAATTTTGTAAAAGAAAGTATCACCTGTAAGCTCTCTCTCCATCAGTGCACAGAACAAGGCAATTGTGACTAAATGTTCCAATTTCAAGTGGCAATATAGCACCAACCTTCTTCGAATAAAATTGGAGAATAAAGCAGAGAACTTGTAGACTTTCGAGAGGGAATTTTGTAAAAGAAAGTATCACCTGTAAGCTCTCTCTCCATCAGTGCACAGAACAAGGCAATTGTGACTAAATGTTCCAATTTCAAGTGGCAATATAGCACCAACCTTCTTCGAATAAAATTGGAGAATAAAGCAGAGAACTTGTAGACTTTCGAGAGGGAATTTTGTAAAAGAAAGTATCACCTGTAAGCTCTCTCTCCATCAGTGCACAGAACAAGGCAATTGTGACTAAATGTTCCAATTTCAAGTGGCAATATAGCACCAACCTTCTTCGAATAAAATTGGAGAATAAAGCAGAGAACTTGTAGACTTTCGAGAGGGAATTTTGTAAAAGAAAGTATCACCTGTAAGCTCTCTCTCCATCAGTGCACAGAACAAGGCAATTGTGACTAAATGTTCCAATTTCAAGTGGCAATATAGCACCAACCTTCTTCGAATAAAATTGGAGAATAAAGCAGAGAACTTGTAGACTTTCGAGAGGGAATTTTGTAAAAGAAAGTATCACCTGTAAGCTCTCTCTCCATCAGTGCACAGAACAAGGCAATTGTGACTAAATGTTCCAATTTCAAGTGGCAATATAGCACCAACCTTCTTCGAATAAAATTGGAGAATAAAGCAGAGAACTTGTAGACTTTCGAGAGGGAATTTTGTAAAAGAAAGTATCACCTGTAAGCTCTCTCTCCATCAGTGCACAGAACAAGGCAATTGTGACTAAATGTTCCAATTTCAAGTGGCAATATAGCACCAACCTTCTTCGAATAAAATTGGAGAATAAAGCAGAGAACTTGTAGACTTTCGAGAGGGAATTTTGTAAAAGAAAGTATCACCTGTAAGCTCTCTCTCCATCAGTGCACAGAACAAGGCAATTGTGACTAAATGTTCCAATTTCAAGTGGCAATATAGCACCAACCTTCTTCGAATAAAATTGGAGAATAAAGCAGAGAACTTGTAGACTTTCGAGAGGGAATTTTGTAAAAGAAAGTATCACCTGTAAGCTCTCTCTCCATCAGTGCACAGAACAAGGCAATTGTGACTAAATGTTCCAATTTCAAGTGGCAATATAGCACCAACCTTCTTCGAATAAAATTGGAGAATAAAGCAGAGAACTTGTAGACTTTCGAGAGGGAATTTTGTAAAAGAAAGTATCACCTGTAAGCTCTCTCTCCATCAGTGCACAGAACAAGGCAATTGTGACTAAATGTTCCAATTTCAAGTGGCAATATAGCACCAACCTTCTTCGAATAAAATTGGAGAATAAAGCAGAGAACTTGTAGACTTTCGAGAGGGAATTTTGTAAAAGAAAGTATCACCTGTAAGCTCTCTCTCCATCAGTGCACAGAACAAGGCAATTGTGACTAAATGTTCCAATTTCAAGTGGCAATATAGCACCAACCTTCTTCGAATAAAATTGGAGAATAAAGCAGAGAACTTGTAGACTTTCGAGAGGGAATTTTGTAAAAGAAAGTATCACCTGTAAGCTCTCTCTCCATCAGTGCACAGAACAAGGCAATTGTGACTAAATGTTCCAATTTCAAGTGGCAATATAGCACCAACCTTCTTCGAATAAAATTGGAGAATAAAGCAGAGAACTTGTAGACTTTCGAGAGGGAATTTTGTAAAAGAAAGTATCACCTGTAAGCTCTCTCTCCATCAGTGCACAGAACAAGGCAATTGTGACTAAATGTTCCAATTTCAAGTGGCAATATAGCACCAACCTTCTTCGAATAAAATTGGAGAATAAAGCAGAGAACTTGTAGACTTTCGAGAGGGAATTTTGTAAAAGAAAGTATCACCTGTAAGCTCTCTCTCCATCAGTGCACAGAACAAGGCAATTGTGACTAAATGTTCCAATTTCAAGTGGCAATATAGCACCAACCTTCTTCGAATAAAATTGGAGAATAAAGCAGAGAACTTGTAGACTTTCGAGAGGGAATTTTGTAAAAGAAAGTATCACCTGTAAGCTCTCTCTCCATCAGTGCACAGAACAAGGCAATTGTGACTAAATGTTCCAATTTCAAGTGGCAATATAGCACCAACCTTCTTCGAATAAAATTGGAGAATAAAGCAGAGAACTTGTAGACTTTCGAGAGGGAATTTTGTAAAAGAAAGTATCACCTGTAAGCTCTCTCTCCATCAGTGCACAGAACAAGGCAATTGTGACTAAATGTTCCAATTTCAAGTGGCAATATAGCACCAACCTTCTTCGAATAAAATTGGAGAATAAAGCAGAGAACTTGTAGACTTTCGAGAGGGAATTTTGTAAAAGAAAGTATCACCTGTAAGCTCTCTCTCCATCAGTGCACAGAACAAGGCAATTGTGACTAAATGTTCCAATTTCAAGTGGCAATATAGCACCAACCTTCTTCGAATAAAATTGGAGAATAAAGCAGAGAACTTGTAGACTTTCGAGAGGGAATTTTGTAAAAGAAAGTATCACCTGTAAGCTCTCTCTCCATCAGTGCACAGAACAAGGCAATTGTGACTAAATGTTCCAATTTCAAGTGGCAATATAGCACCAACCTTCTTCGAATAAAATTGGAGAATAAAGCAGAGAACTTGTAGACTTTCGAGAGGGAATTTTGTAAAAGAAAGTATCACCTGTAAGCTCTCTCTCCATCAGTGCACAGAACAAGGCAATTGTGACTAAATGTTCCAATTTCAAGTGGCAATATAGCACCAACCTTCTTCGAATAAAATTGGAGAATAAAGCAGAGAACTTGTAGACTTTCGAGAGGGAATTTTGTAAAAGAAAGTATCACCTGTAAGCTCTCTCTCCATCAGTGCACAGAACAAGGCAATTGTGACTAAATGTTCCAATTTCAAGTGGCAATATAGCACCAACCTTCTTCGAATAAAATTGGAGAATAAAGCAGAGAACTTGTAGACTTTCGAGAGGGAATTTTGTAAAAGAAAGTATCACCTGTAAGCTCTCTCTCCATCAGTGCACAGAACAAGGCAATTGTGACTAAATGTTCCAATTTCAAGTGGCAATATAGCACCAACCTTCTTCGAATAAAATTGGAGAATAAAGCAGAGAACTTGTAGACTTTCGAGAGGGAATTTTGTAAAAGAAAGTATCACCTGTAAGCTCTCTCTCCATCAGTGCACAGAACAAGGCAATTGTGACTAAATGTTCCAATTTCAAGTGGCAATATAGCACCAACCTTCTTCGAATAAAATTGGAGAATAAAGCAGAGAACTTGTAGACTTTCGAGAGGGAATTTTGTAAAAGAAAGTATCACCTGTAAGCTCTCTCTCCATCAGTGCACAGAACAAGGCAATTGTGACTAAATGTTCCAATTTCAAGTGGCAATATAGCACCAACCTTCTTCGAATAAAATTGGAGAATAAAGCAGAGAACTTGTAGACTTTCGAGAGGGAATTTTGTAAAAGAAAGTATCACCTGTAAGCTCTCTCTCCATCAGTGCACAGAACAAGGCAATTGTGACTAAATGTTCCAATTTCAAGTGGCAATATAGCACCAACCTTCTTCGAATAAAATTGGAGAATAAAGCAGAGAACTTGTAGACTTTCGAGAGGGAATTTTGTAAAAGAAAGTATCACCTGTAAGCTCTCTCTCCATCAGTGCACAGAACAAGGCAATTGTGACTAAATGTTCCAATTTCAAGTGGCAATATAGCACCAACCTTCTTCGAATAAAATTGGAGAATAAAGCAGAGAACTTGTAGACTTTCGAGAGGGAATTTTGTAAAAGAAAGTATCACCTGTAAGCTCTCTCTCCATCAGTGCACAGAACAAGGCAATTGTGACTAAATGTTCCAATTTCAAGTGGCAATATAGCACCAACCTTCTTCGAATAAAATTGGAGAATAAAGCAGAGAACTTGTAGACTTTCGAGAGGGAATTTTGTAAAAGAAAGTATCACCTGTAAGCTCTCTCTCCATCAGTGCACAGAACAAGGCAATTGTGACTAAATGTTCCAATTTCAAGTGGCAATATAGCACCAACCTTCTTCGAATAAAATTGGAGAATAAAGCAGAGAACTTGTAGACTTTCGAGAGGGAATTTTGTAAAAGAAAGTATCACCTGTAAGCTCTCTCTCCATCAGTGCACAGAACAAGGCAATTGTGACTAAATGTTCCAATTTCAAGTGGCAATATAGCACCAACCTTCTTCGAATAAAATTGGAGAATAAAGCAGAGAACTTGTAGACTTTCGAGAGGGAATTTTGTAAAAGAAAGTATCACCTGTAAGCTCTCTCTCCATCAGTGCACAGAACAAGGCAATTGTGACTAAATGTTCCAATTTCAAGTGGCAATATAGCACCAACCTTCTTCGAATAAAATTGGAGAATAAAGCAGAGAACTTGTAGACTTTCGAGAGGGAATTTTGTAAAAGAAAGTATCACCTGTAAGCTCTCTCTCCATCAGTGCACAGAACAAGGCAATTGTGACTAAATGTTCCAATTTCAAGTGGCAATATAGCACCAACCTTCTTCGAATAAAATTGGAGAATAAAGCAGAGAACTTGTAGACTTTCGAGAGGGAATTTTGTAAAAGAAAGTATCACCTGTAAGCTCTCTCTCCATCAGTGCACAGAACAAGGCAATTGTGATCATAAATGTTTCAATTTCAAGTGGCAATATAGCAGAGTATTTCATCACTTTGAGAGGGAATTTTGTAATAAAAGGTCTCTGTATAGGCATATACACTACATCCAAGAAGATGTTAACATGACATTGGATTGGAAGTTATGCTGAATATTCATGCCTTGGGACATTGCAATACATCAGCAGCGTTACTGGTGAATTCTCTGCCTCTGCGTCGACTGGCATTTGGGCATATCTCTAAGCAAGGCTCCTTCAGGGCACTATCATCTTCTGCCGGAGGTGGAAGCACTCCAAATTTAAACTGTCACATTAAAATCACATGGAAAATCAATGGAAGAAGGTAAAGAATCTAACTCTTCACTCAAGCTTGGAATTTACCAAACAGTTAATCTGAAGAAAAATCTTATCAAGACATCATTGCCAAGTTGTTTTTAGCATATGACAGACAAATACTATGCATGCTTCCGCAACAGGGGAGTTGTACAAGAAATCCTCGTTAATAATTGCCACAATAAAACTATAAAATGCTTCTTGGGGCATAACAAGGGGACTAATATTTATCATTGACTAGAAGGATCTGTCAAAACTATTGTTCTAATTTGAATCTTCTCTGGAAGTGTAATTGAAACAAGAGACAAAGGGATTGCCACAGGGAGGTTGGATTCTGCTGAATATTATGACAAGAAACAGAAGATTTCCTCGAATCTTCTGGTTGAATAAATACATAGTTTTCCATCCTAGTAAGATGAAGAAGAAAGGAATCTTGTGTCAACGTTGTGAGGTGGCTATAGTAAGTTAGTATTGATAGTGGCAATGATAACTTTGCTCTGGGGTAACAATGGTGGTGGAACCTGTGGTGATAGTTAAGCTGCTAAGGTGGAGGTAAGTGAGTTAAGCATTATGTCAATTTCCTCAACTGATGATTCCGGTTAGTAGAGAATTCAAACAAGTAGAGGGCAGCTTCTGCTCTCAATCCCGGTGGAGAACCGTTCAATTGCAACAAGTGAGATTATTGATTTAGACAATAGGTGATTATACTACCCTCCATTTAAACAAAATGATCGCAAACAAATGTAGAAGAAAGAAAGAAAAAAAAAAAATACGTGTAGACTTGACTCCATAAAGCGAAAAAACAAAGCTATCACAGATGCAAGTCACATATCTCATAAGTTCTCAGGCCTACTGCTTGACAAGTGAACAACGTTACCTGACAACTATAGTCGCTGAAGTTTGGCTCCATCAGTAAAGGAACTCCCATGTAATCCCGGAAGAAAGTCTAAAACAACCACCACCTTACAAAGTTAGAACTCAATTATGATGAAAGCAAAGAATTGAAAAGCTACCATATTTCATGTGCGTTTGCTTGCATGTGTCTGTCCGGGGAGAGAGAGAGAGAGAGAGAGTAAACAAATCTACATACTAATAATCCTACGCTTAGTAGAGTAGAATCAGGGACTCACTAGCTATGCATCCTTAATTTCTTAAGAAAAATAAAATAAAACTCCCTGCATATATAGCTCTGACAGTATAAATTATTGATATATGGTTCCAAAGTTGTAATCAAGGTAACATCTAAATGAAGAGAATTAATCTTTTCAAACCTCTCTACAGACATAATGCAGCTTGCTTAGCACCTTGATATATGCTACATGACCGAAATATTAGTTTGAAATTCTATCTCGGCTGCCCAAAACTGTCAAGGGTTAAAGGCAACATTCATATGTAAACAGGAACACACAACTGCCTCAAATTTACAAGCATTATTTTGCTCGATATCCCTAACTTTCTGTTATCACTCTCATGATTACTGCAGTCAAAACACTAGTGAGGAAAAGATGCACATAACTACTTTTGCTGACGAAAGTTTGACAAGCACTGACCTGTGTAGGAAGCTTACATGTATTGATACAAATTCCCACGCATTTGCTTTCCTCCAAGTACTTGCATTTTTCTACAAACACCTACAGAATGGGAAAAATTATGTCAATGAATATCAGAAAGAATATATTCCACGTAAATCAGACTGCAATATCAAAAGGAAGTTCAAAACATTACCCCACTTCTCAATGAGGATCCATCAGGAAGATCCACAGAGTTAACAGCACAATGGCCCATGAGCCATTGACAAGATAGTGCAGTCACCCTTGCTTCAGAAAAAAGAACATTTAAATGATTTACACGAAATTGTAGTAGATTGACAAAGTTGAAATTAGTGTACAAAAACAAAAATCAACTAGGCTACCAGGAATACTACACGAATGATAAACTCACCAACCATCATTGCAGCTAATTTCCCTCCTTGAATAGGTGATATGAGCATTCGGTAAAGCTCTAACAAAAATGGAGGAAACAGCAATCTTAATATCCGCACCTACCATATTCCAAAACAAGTACTAATGACGAGCCTTACCAAAGATTAAACCATGAGACATAAATATAATAGCATAGCATCTTGTCTAAATCTGCAATTTAGTACTAAGAAATCTTGCAATGAATTCATAGTTATGACAAAGGATGCATTCTCAATACCGCGGCTTCTTTGGTTTCAGAATTGCTTCTTCTGATCATAAGACGGTTTGCGACTTCAATTAGTCCATTGTATCCAGGCTTCTCTGAATCCCACCTAACTTCCTGTTAATATCCCCTTAAAAGCAAGAAATTGGGTAAAACTGTAAGATCAGTCATGTAAAAACCTCAAATAATTCATATGGAAAGTTCAACCTTTGTTTGGTTGCTGCAAAAATGCAAGAAAGTAAAACAAATGAAAAATAACAGATCCTTCATCAAGTTAGATATCCCATTATCTCAAACTGGAATATACAAAAACTTCCAATTATACAACACATGGCTTTCTTCCTTTTCTTGGGGAGCAAAGTACACCGTGGTCCTTATAATTTTGTCTCTTGTGCCATTTAGCTCTTTGTAGTTTCAATTGTATCGATTTTACCCTTTATTTTTTTTTTCCATATTTAATCAATTTAGTAAAATTGAGAACCTCCATTAACAAATTGAATAGCAACCAAGAACAAAACGGTCAATTTAGAAGGTAATGAAGCATTTCAAGTAGTGAGATAATGAAATTGGAGTCACCTGTACCATTCGGCTTCAGAACAAGTTAAGAAATAGGTCATCGAAGATTCCGGGCTGGTATTCGGGTCTTGAATCCATCTCTGTGGTTTTCAACTGAACAAGATTTAACACAGAAAAAGAAGAAAATGAGGAGTTGGGAAAAGTAAATATGGGGAATCAAAGAAAGACAAAGATTGAAAAATCGCACCGATTGTGATCGATTAGAGGAATACAATATGCGAAGCCTAGGGTTTTGGGGGTGAAATTGAAGTGGCGAGAGAGAATGATGATGATGATGATGATGATGTGAAAGAGAAGATGAGAAGGGGGTGAGAGGAGGAGCAAGAAGAGCCACAGACGTCATCGCTGATGAAGCTCTTTGCCTAATCCTTGAAATTGAAATCCATAAAAAAACACAAAAAGTAATGGCTTTTAACGGCTGGATAATTCTTTGAAGGGAATTTTTTTTTTTTTTTTAACATACATCCACCGAATTTGATATTGCCGGAATTGTTTGAATTTGTGTATGCCCATCATTTGGTAAGTCATGTGAGGATTCAAACAAATACAAAAACAATTCCGGCAATATCATATTAATCTGAAATTGAAATCAATTATTATTTTCTTAGTCAAATTTTTAGATAGTTTGGCGAATTGTAGATCCCATCTAGAAGTATGAAATTCTATGACAGGGTAGCGGGTGAGGTACTTCTTGTACTAGCCAAAACTCATCAGCTTTCCTGAATTTATGGTGCACATCTCAGATAATCAGGAGAAAATAAAAACAGAGCTTGAAATCAAACCTGCTGGTAGAGAGCCTAGACAAGCAATGCACAGCAATACAGAGCTTGAAATCAGAATTAAACAGAGCAATATAGAAATCAACTACGACTAATGAAGCAGATAACAAACAGCAATACAAAAACAAACACAACGCATCAGAAATTCAAATCAGACTATCAATCACAAAGCCTCTTTAACAGAAAATATAGCAAATTAGAATGTTTGAATCAATTCAGAAAACAAAGTTACATGAGTCACATTGAACTTCATGCGACTCAAAACGAAATTCAAAATGCAATGCACCAGAGCTTCATCAGAAGCAAACTAATTGGTACATATAATATATATATATATATATAGAGAGAGAGAGAGAGAGAGGGAGAGAGAGAGAGAGAGAGAGAGAGAGAGAGAGAGAGAATGAGTGAGCTTCATTAGCATTTGCGTCTGCTATTACTAATAATACTACTTCATTCGCCATTTTCTCACGAGCAATCCGAAATCGTCAATTGAAAACCCTAGAATTCGATCAATGGTTAAACCCAAGCGACAGAGAGAGATGAGAATGATAGAAATCTCTAGAATTTGAAAATAAATACTCTATTAAACCTAGAATTGAAAAATCGGAGGTCTCCATAGTCGGCTCTGGCGAGAAAGAGAAAGAGAAGCGTCCGTGATGGAGAGGAGGCACAGCAGAGGGGAGAGATAGAGAGTTGGATTCATTCATAGAAATTAGGCTTACCGATTATGAATCGATCAAAATCTTCATAAAAAATCAATCAAAATCTTCATATCTTCATCAACAATTGATCGAAATCTTCAAATGAACAATACTATTGAGAGTGGAGAATCGAAAGAGAGTCGAGCAAGAGAGAGTGGAGAGTGAGATTTTCAGAGAGAGAGAGAGACATACCGTTGGAGGTCTCTTCTTCAGCCGACGAGAGCGCGAAATGGAGACAGAAATTGGGAAGTAACAGCGAAACACGCTTGGAGTTTAAATAAAATTAGATTTTGATGTAAAAAAATGCTTTTTTGCGACGGTTAAACAATCCGTCGCAAAAAATAAGACGCAAAAAATCATATTTCTAGTAGTGACGTATGCATTAAATAGTTGTAAATTTATCAATTTAGTACCTAACAAATTTGTAATAATTTTTATAAATAAAATAAGTTAATTTATAATATAAGTCTCCAAACATAAAAAAATTATTTTCTATTGTGTTTTTATTATAATTTCTAACATGATTTGGACATCTCATGTTAACAATAAATAAATAAATAAATAAAATAAAAAAATTCAAAGATTACATAATTATCACTTCAAGAAAAGGGGGTAAAAAACATGGAAGCATTAGCGACGGCGCTTGTCCCGTCGCAAAAAATGGTTTTTTGCGACGGCAGCTTAAACCGTCGCAAATGAAGGCTTTAGCGACGGGATTGTCCCCGTCGGTAATAAAAAATACGCGGATAGGGGAATAAATGCATCAGTATTAGCGACGGATGTTTTTACCGTCGCCAAAAAAATATTTTGAGATGGCATACGTTTGCTATCGCAAATAGTTTACATATTGCGACGGCAATTGTCCGTCGCAAAAAAATCTAATTTAAACGGCGTCGTTTTATGAACAAAATACTTGCCATTTGCGACGGTGTAAAGCCTACCGTCGCAAAAAGTGAAATTTTTTTTCCCCCTCTTCATCTTGCCGCTCGATCAAAAGTGAAACCTATATCCAAATCCCTAAATCTGTGAAACCAAGTTCTTTTCCCCCAAATCCCTACGAAGCCGAACGGCTGTATTGATCATTTCAACCAAATCCCTACGAACGGCGAACGGCGAACGGTGGTGCGGCGGTGCGGTGGTGCTGCGGCAAGGACGACAGGTATGCTCTCTCTCTCTCTCTCTCTCTGTATATATATATACAGATCTGTATCATCTATATATATATACAGGAAGCATGAAAGTTTATTAAGCATTCATGATTCGTGTGTAACAGTTCTCTGTTTTTGCCAATTTCACACTTGATAGAGGAGCAAATCAGATCCCCAATTCCATTTTTAACTAAAAACATGACCTGTTGTTGTTGGGACTCTGCTAACATTTCTTGGTAGAATCTGTAATTTCTATATTGAATTTGCATGATGCTGATGTTAAACTTTTTTAATGGCTATGGGGCCTTTCTTTTATATATATTATTTTTTATGTTAGTTCTTTCATTTGGGTTGTGCTATACATAGTTTTTGAGGTGAAATAGTTTTACTTTAGTAGGCCTATTATACCCAACATTGCCTTGTAGCATCTGCTTTGTGTTGTGAGATTAACAGGCAATGGTTTCGTACTCGGTTGGATTAACATGTGGGGTTATAATAAATTGAGTCGTGTAGTAGATTGTCTAAGTTCAGCTTAAAAACTTAATAAGTTTCAAAATGTATTCGAATTTGGCTTTTTTACCTTTCGAGTTGATTTTAAATGAGTTTTAATCGAATTGAACTTAAGTAGTTTAATTTGTTTATAATGCTTATAAGTTTGGTGAGTCAAGTTCAAATCAAACTCAAAAAATAAATGAATTCCAAATTGTGTTTAAATTTATGTTATTTATATGATTTCAAATAACTTTTTAATAAATCTCCTGCTCCAACCTTATAAAGGTACTCCTATTTAGTATTTTACATATGCTAGCACATCTATTATCCTTGTCAATATTTATTGTGTTATCAAAGATAGAAAAATGAAACTAATAAGGTAAACTTATCTAACAAATTGTTATTGAAAGAAAATTCTGAAAGCACCTCAATTTTCAGTGATAAACACTTTCTTTTTGAATTTTTGAAAATTGTTTTGATTAGTGTTTCTATCTTTGTATTTTACTTATAATATAAGAAGTGTCCAATAAAAAATAATATGAAAAATTACAAAAAAAAAAAAAAAACTCAAAGTTTAAGTCTTATAATAAAATAAATCATGAGTTTAATTTTGCTGATATTGTTATTGATGTACCTATCATTTGTTCTGTTTTTCTTCCAGACAACTGTATCGAAAAGTAGTCTTTTTGATCATTTGATAAACTTTTGGGAATTTAGGCCGGGACTTGATCCAGGAACTTGAAGCCTTTATTTTTTGGTGGATTTTAAGTTCCAGTCACCACTCTATCGACAGGTAATGGTTCTGTGCTTAATTTGGTTGTACTGTACATCTATCTAGTCTGTGAACTTCATAACCATAGCTAATGCAGTTCTGCTATCATTTCATTATATGTAGTTTTTGCATTTTCTTTCAAGGAGAGCATATCTTACAATGTTCCCAACATGTAGCGTGCGAGGCATTTAAGTATTTGCGTTACCTGGTTGATCTTTGTTGGTGTGTTTGTGGAAGTAATTTGTAGTATGGAAAGTAATTGGCCTCCATATATATAGATAGAAAAGAAACTTGGACTGGGCTTTCTTATTCTACTTTGTTACATAAGATTATGTATGTGATGTTCAAAATTATAATATACAGAATAATGATCCATCTTTATTAAATAATTTTTGAGACAATATACTTGATTAGTGTGTTTTTGTATAACTCATCTATCAAGTTTATAAATAATGCCGCATAGTATTATGGAATACTAATAATTTGGAGAATTCTACCATACACATCCATTTATCATATGCATCATTAGTTATGTCATTTTTTTTTTCTTTAGTTATGATGAATTATCTTCGTTAATTATGATATTATTTTATGATCAGTTGTCCGTGTAGGAAGTGTGAGAATCGATACTATTTTGTACGAGAGGGTGTACGGGAGCATCTGATTTTGAATGGTTTTTTTAAAAAATACAAACATTGGATTAATCATGGGGAATCTTACGTATCTCTGCATGGTAATCGAGAGAATGAAACATTAGCTAATTCAGACATTGGGGATGATATGATTGGAATGATACAAGGGGCTATGGGAAATCCACATGCCGGTACAAGTGTTGAGGGTAATGAACCACAGGGGCCTAATCCCCATGCATCTGAACCCCAGCTTGGTCTAAATGTAGAGACTGCAAAGTATTTCAAACTTCTTCAAGATGCACAAAGTGAATTGTATCCAGGTTGTCAGAAGTTCACATATTTGTCGTTCATTGTTCGACTTCTACATCTGAAGGTGCTTAATCAGTAGATAGACAAGTCTATTGACATTTGCTTGAGTTATTGAATGAGGCGTTTCCGTTGGGTGTGAAACTCCCGGACTCATATTATAAAGCTCAAAAGGTCACAACAGATTTGGGCTTCACGTATGAGACGTGGGATGCATGTCCCAACAGTTGCATGTTGTTTCGAAACGAGGACGCCAATCTTGATAAATGTGTCATATGCAACAGTTGTAGATGGAAATCAAATGGTGATGGTGGTTCAAATGGTCCTAACAAAGGTGGCAAACGAATAGCTGCAAAACAGATGAGCTATTTTCCTTTAAAGCCAAGGTTGCAGAGGTTGTTTATGTCATCCAAGACGGCCAAGTTAATGAGATGGCATGCAGAGGATACGATAAAAATTCAAAGATTACATATGTGTTTTCATTTTTCTTATTTAGCAACAACCAATACTATACACGTCATTTTATACTTATATAAAAAAAAAAAAAAAATTAGTTTCAGTTAGAATAGAACAAAAAAAAAAATTCATAAAGAAAAACTTAATTATAACATGAATGCCAATTGAAAGTGCATTTTTTTTCTTCAAATTATAAACTACTATAATTAAAAAAAGTTTTCATTTACAATTTTCTAAAGTGAAGATTCTCCAATCCAAAAACAATAAAAAATAAAAAAATTGAGAATTTCTTAAGTGAGTAACATTTTTTCAGATTACTATAACAAAAAGGCAACCATGCAAATTTTTTACAAATAGTTTTCTTAAAATTTTAAGTATTATTCTACACTATATACTAAAATGTCATGTTGATCTTTTCTTTTTTATATTTTACAAATTTTTTTAAAAATTATAAAATTTCTCATGATGGAACATGACAATTTTCATTGGAAGTAAGCTAAAAATTTCATTTATTGGCCCAAAACAATAGGCATATATATAAAATACTTAAGATATAAAAGATAGTTTGTTTGACACATTTCTATTTATTTTTTTTTTATTTTAAGAATAATTATTTCATCGGATTAAATTGAATTTTAAACCTATTTAATTTATTGACTAAAAGTATACAAAATAGTTA